ACTCACTGTGGCGGCCAACTGGCCTGATCAGGGCCCCAACCGCCCACGTCCCCTCCCCACCCCTCCTGATGGCCTGGCCCCGATCGGCCCCCATCAGGGCAGACCGGCTGGACCCCACCTGTGCACGAATTCGTGCATCAGGCCTCTAGCAGTATATAAAGCATTGTATAGTGTTTGTTTTAAATTAAAATTGGTGCATAACACTCTTCCAGTATAAGGTTTGGGAAAGTTTTTTTTTTTTCATCTTTATTGTTGAGATTATTTCAGATGTTCCTCTTTTTTTCCCCACCCCACCCCATGCCTTCACCACCCTATTGTCTGTGTTCATAGGTAATGCATATATGCATATAAGATCTTTGTTTAATCTCTTCCCACCCTCCCACTTGCCTTCCTTTTGAGAATCGTCAGTCTGTTCCATTTCCATGCCTCTGATTCTATTTTATTCACCAGTTTATTCTGTTTATTAGATTTTTTTATTCATTTGTTTTGACTTTTAGATTTAATTGTTGATAGGTATGTATTTGTTGCCATTTTGTTCATATTTTTTATCTTTTTCTTCTTCTTCCTCTTCTTAAAGAATAGCCTTCAACATTTCATATAATACTGGTTTGGTGGTGGTGAAGCTCTTGTCTGTGAAGCTCTTTATCTGACCTTCAATTCTAAATGATAGCTTTGCTGGGTAGATTAATCTTGGTTGTAGGTCCTTGCTATTCATCACTTTGAATATTTCTTGCCACTCCGTTCTGGCCTGCATAGTTTCTGTTGAGAATCAGCTGACAGTCCTTTGGGCATTCCCTTGTAGGTAACTAACTAACTGCTTTTTTCTGGCACAATTTTTCTAAAGGGCCCGATTGTAAATATTTTCAACTTTGCTGGCCCTTATAGTCCCAACTACTCAACTCTGCTATTGTAGCATGAAAGCAGCTATAAAATGTATAAGTAAAGGAGCATGGCCAGTTTTCAATAAAACTTTATTTACAGAATAAGCAGCAAGCAGCCTTTAGCCCATAAACCCACTCTGGTACATTAAGAAGTGCTGATATCAGAAAGCAGTGATTTTAGTTCTATAATCATTCACTGTGGGGGATACAAAGATGGGTGACTAAAATGTGATCCCAGTCATCCATCTGGCTGGGGGATGAGAAAAATATATACAACTAACAATACACATTTTAATATTATTTGAAATATTTATAAGAATGTATTCATGTGATTGAAACAAAGTAAAAGGAAATAAAGCCCAAAGATACTGGATTTCTTCTATAAGTAGTTAGTAAAGCAAGAGAACAAAGAGATCAGAGTTATGAGAGAGGATTGTGATGGCAATGTGGAGGATGGGTTGGAGTGAGAGACCACTCAGGAGGCTGTCGCTGTAGTCCAGGGAAGAGATAACTCATCTCAATTACTATCTTTGTGACCTGGAAGAAGGGAGGAAGGTACTTCAATTTTTGTGTGCCTTCATTTCCTCATCCATAAAATGGGAGCCATAATTCATGCTCAGAACATGTAAATAGTAAGTATTTATAGGTAACACATGGTAAATGTTAATTGATAGTCATTACCATAACTAATTTTTTTTTAATCCGAAATGTGTTTATTGGGATGGCTCTCCTCTCATTTTGATTCGGGATGCTTTTAATGATGCTTCCTTCTGAAGCAGCAGCATCTGGAAGCCTTGCTTTTTCTCCAGTAGGATGAGTAGCCAACACACAAAACTACTGTTTGTGCATGGCTAAAGACGGTGATGATTTTATAGCATCCTGGGTGTTTCACATCCATGCAGTAGGAATTAGGACTCTACACCAGGAGCTGCTGCTTCTGTTTCTCTTCTCTTCTTGAGAGGGATGAAGGAAATCCTTAGCGAGAGGCATGTTGTGGGGAGGTCGTCACCCTCAGAAATGCTATATCATACTATTTTTTTTAAAGCCTATTCATCTACAGTATCCTACTTGAATTTTGCAATAACTTTTAAGGGACTTAAGTATTATTAGCCCCATTTTATAGATAATAGATCCTAAGGCTTTGATGTTCCAACTTGCCCAAAATTGTAACAAGCATTCCAGGCAGATCTAGGATTAGAACTGTGTTGCATAGAGACAGAGTTCTAGTGCTTGCAGTTAGACTAAGGAGGGAACAGGTTTCATCGGGTGAGTCAGCTCTAAAACAGTCACAGTGGGTGCTCAGAGCTTTGTTTTGAGGATTCTCAAAGCAGGTCCAGCTCATTAAGAAGAGAATGCCTGATTGATTAGCATTGTTTGCCATGGGCCCAGGAGCATGGAGCAGGATTGCATTGTTGCTTTCTTTCCTTTTTTTTTTCTTTTTTCTAACTCCTAGCTAAAGTTTCCCATTAACTCTAGTTTTTCTTTATAAACAAAACATTTAGGTACATTTGAACACATCTTTTAATAAACTTACTAGTTTATAGAGTAAATATATCCTTATAAGTTTGCTAAAGAGGTATTACTATTTCTAAAATAGTTTCTAACTAGGGCAATTGATGGAACAATTCTCTTACAAACTGTTTCTCTATAAATCTCATTTTCTGCTTTCATGAGCACACAGGTTGAAAAATCTAGTAGTCACCATTTACTTCTAATTTGAGGGTTAAGTTTAAAACATGGCACTTTAAGAAGTAATTGAGAAAACTTTGTTTTCATATATGAATCAAATATTAGTCTCCTTGAAAGTGAGAGAAATTGCCTAAGATGTGTCATATAAGTACCATTTTAAAAACACACAAAAGCTAGGTTTCTGTGGAGTTGACATATCTGATCTACCTCCTCTGACTTCTTGGTTTTATTTTAGCCAATATTATTCTATCCCCAGTATCTTTAGTCTTATTGTGGGAAAGCAGCAACTTTGTATTTTAAATATCAACTTACCTAAGTGTGGGAAAAGGCAGAGTTGACTTCTGGATTCCACCTTCTCTGCAGCAAGATGCCTCAGGAAACACTGGCTGCAATTGCCTACATTCAACCAAGTGCCCAGGTCGGGCTTGGCTTTGGAAGCCTTGGGTAGTCCTATTTCCCAGTATGAACTACGTGTGAGAAATATCAGCAGACAAAGCTCAGGAAGTATGAGACCTGATACTCCATCCCCTACCTCTACAGAAATACAGAGAGGTGGGGGAAGTACACATTACAGTAGTTTTCCCATTTAGAACTTTGTGGATTTCACTAGACTACTAGTATTTATTACTGGAGTCACTTAGCCTCTAGTTCTTGTTAAGACACCTTCAGGGAGATAGAGAATTTACCAACTTCTCAAAGTCCTAGCCATTTCTGAACAATTTTGACAAATTTTTACTTTTATATTCTCTATGAAATGGCTAAGCAAAGATGAAATCTGTCTCTCGAAAAATAACATTTCCCATTCTACACACACTGCTGCAGAATTGCTCTGCTCCGATTTCTTGACTATTATTGTTTTAAATCAGAGTTATCTTATTTATATTTTATGTGCCCAGTGGCAATGACCAAGATTAAATAAGCATCGCCCAACCGGTGTGACTCAGTGGTTAAGGGTCGACCCATGAACCAGGAGGTCACTGTTTGATTCCCAGTCAGGGCATATGCCCAGGTTGTGGGCTCCATCCCCAGTAGGGGGCGTGCAGGAGGCAGCGGATTAATGATTCTCTCTCATCATTGATGTTTCTATCTCTCTCTCCCTCACCCTTCCTTTCTCTGAAAATCAATAAAAATATATTTTTTAAAAAGATTAAGCATCTGGAAGAGTTTTGTGCAAGGTATAAGACTATTTGGGGGAAAAAAGAATTTTCTCTCCAAAAAGCTTTCCAGGAATGTAAGTAACTTGCAAAGGTTCTACAAATCATGATCTCTGGAGATTAAAATATTTATGAAAAGTAATGGTCTTGAGTATTTGTAATTAGATTAGTCACTTTTTAAAAATGATACTTGCTAATCACATTTGAATTTAAATTACTTTTAACAATCTATTACATGCAATCTTTAGGGGTATTTACTATAAATGATTAAAGAAAAAAGCAGAGTGTTACTTATAAAGTTTATATTAAGTGCCTTATGTAATTCATCTCTTTAGTGTTTTAAAAATAAAAATGTTAAGGTTTTATTTAAAAAGCAATCTTATTTTTTATTTATTGTCTTTTTCCAGGTGATATAATCCAAACATTCATTATAAGTTACTAGAGACGCAGTGCACAAAATTCGTGCATGGGGTGGAGGGATCCCTCAGCCCAGCCTGTACCCTCTTGCAATCCGGGACCCCTCAGACATCCCTCTTGCAACCCAGGACTGCTGGCTCCTAACCGCTCACCTGCCTGCCTGATCGCCCATAACCACTCTGCCTGCCTGTCTGATCACCCCTAACCTCTCACCTGCCTGCCTGATCACCTTTAACCACTCACTTGCCTGCCTGATTGCCCCTTACCACTCGCCTGCCTGCCTGATCGCCCCTAACCACTCACCTGCCTGCTTGATCACCCCTAACCACTCGCCTGCCTACCTGATTGCCCCTAACCACTCTGCCTGCCTGCCTGATCACCCCTAACCACCTCTGCCTTAGCCCCCGCCACTGCAGCTTCATCTGAAAGGACATTTGGAATGATGTCTAGAAGGTCGTTGGCTGTCCGGTCTAATTAGTATATTACACTTTTATTATTATAGATGTTTTTAAAGCAATTCTCAGCTTCAAGCTTCTCCCCACAACCTCCTTTCCCCAAGTGGAAAGAAAAGACTTAATTAATTTTCCTTTCTGAGCAGAATTTTGGTGGGTTTTGCTGTCATGAAGAACATGTTATAGGTCCAGACTTTAAGGCTTCTTTCTGTAATTAATAATATGTTTGATCTTTCCAGTTTTTTCCTGAGATTTCTCTTCTGCTTGTATTAGGAAAGCCCCTCCCTGGGAATGTTGATAAATCAGAAACACTTCATCTCTGCCATGACAAAAACATGTTGAGGACTGAAGCCCCCTTATTCCTTCCCATTTCATGAATATGTATTTAATATTTTTGGTTGTTTCAGACTGACGCCGATTCTTGGCATTCAGAAGCATTCTCAGGAAAATATGGTGTTTACACAGTTTCTAGCTACCCTGCTTGAAGAATTACATTTAAAGAATGAAGACCTTGAAAATTTAACCATCATATTTAGAACCAGCTGTTAAACAGAGTGGTGAGTTGGATTGTGCTTTACTTTTGTTTATTTTTCATTTGTTGCCTGTTTAGATTCTTTTTTTAGTATTTTAAAAACCAAGTACAGGCCCTGGCAGTTCAGTTGGTTAGAACATCGTCCCAATACACCAAGGTTGGTCAGGGAACATGTAAGAATTAACCAATGAATGCATAAATAAGTGGAACAACAAATCAATCTCTTTTGATATCTCTCTCTCTCTTCCTCTCTCTCCCTCTCCTCTCCCTTTCCCCCCTATTCCCATCTCCTTCCCTCCCTCCCTCCCCCTTCCCCTCTCTCTCTAAAAAGCATCAATCCTATATAATAAAGAGGTGTTATGCAAATTAACCCTCACACCTTCACAAGATGGCTGCCTACAACCAGGTGGCAGGGGGTTTAGTGAGGGACAACCAAATGACTGAACAGCAGGCTGCGTGGGGTGACCAGGCCGGCAGGGGGGACAGTTGGGGGCGACCAGGTCAGCAGGGGGGGGCAGTTGGGGGTGACCAAGCCAGCAGGGGGGGGGCAGTTAGGGGCAACCAGGCCAGCAGGGGGAGCAGTAAGAGGCGACCAGGCTGGCGGGGGAGGGGGGGGTAACAGTTGGGGGTTACCAGGCCAGCAGGGGGGGCAGTTAGGGGAAATCAGGCTAGCACACAGGGGCAGTGAGGGGTGATCAGGCCAGCGGAGGGGGGGCGCAATTAGGGGCGACCAGGCAGGCAGGTAGGTGAGCGATTAGGAGCCAGTGGTCCAGGATTGTGGGAGGGATGTCCGAATGCCAGTTTAGGCCCGATCCCCGGGATCGCAAATCTAAACTGGCATTTGGAGATCCCCCAAGGGGTTCTGGTTGGAGAGGGTACAGGCTTGGCTGAGGGGACTCCCCATACACACTCTTGTGCACTAATTTCATGCACTGGGCCTCTAGTATAAAAATAAAAACCAAGTATAGACATCAGGATATCCTCAGCTTGCTAACGGAGAACATGACATCCATTAGTTCTCAGCTGCCACACTCACTTCCTATCCACTCTTGTTACTTTGTGCCCCATCCTTGTTGTTATTATTCCCCCTATATAGGCTTACCATAGTTAATTCTGTTTCTTGCAATCCACTATCACCTTCATACTCAAACCTCCATGTCCAACCTGGTAAGTTTCTTCCCAGGAAGTAGCAACTAACTTCAACTCAACTACTGCAATGATCCATTGAGAACATCCTCATCTTACTTCCCTCTTCAAAGAAATCACCCCCAACCCAGCCAACACCCTAGTACTCTCATGTACAGATAAGCAGATAAATTTACAAGTCTGACTTTGTTGAATCGTGACCCTGCTCCCAGATACATAGCCCTCCCCTACACCTCCTTCAGAACTGCCCATCAGAATGCACCTCCCTCGTGCTGTTTTAATCATAACTCTTCATCTTTTCCTCTCTTTGCTTCTCATTTCACATACTCTCAAGTGCTCAGATAGTTTTTTAAAAATTTTTATTCAAGTTTAGTTGGCATACAATAGTATATTAGTTTCAGGTGTACAACATAATGATTCAACATTTATATGTCTTAGGATGTAATCACCACACTGTGCTAGTAACCACCAGTCGCCATGCCAACTTATGATATTATGACTGTATTTCCTATGCTATATACTGCATCTCTGTGGCTCATTTATTTTATAACTGAAAGTTTGTACCTATTATTTCCCTTCACCTTTTTAACAATCCCCCTACTTTTCTCCCCTCTGGCAACCATCAGTTTATTCTCCATTTTTATGAGTCTTGATTTGTTTGTTCCTTTGTTTTTTAGATTCCACATATAAGGCAAATTATATGGTATTTGTCTTTCTCTGTCTGACTTATTTCACTTAGCACAATACTCTCTAGGTCCATCCATGTTGTCACAAATGGCAAGATTTCATTCTTTTTTATGGCTGAGTAATATTACATTGTATACACTGAGTGGCCAGATTATTATGACCACCTGACGTTTGTAGGCAAATTAGCTATAATTTCGCACTGAAGTTGCTAGAGGGCCAGACCATTATAAATAGGGAAGCAGGTTGTTTACCACGACAGTAGAAGTGGTTTTTTTCTGAAGATATGGGTAAACAACGCGATTTAACAGCCTTTGAGCGTGGGATATATTTGAACGTGAGTGGCCAGATTATTATGACCACCTGACGTTTGTAGGCAAATTAGCCATACACTGCATCGTATGGGATATGGAAGCCAAAGGCCTGTTCAAACACCTTTGCTGTCTGCAGTTACCAAGATAAAACGTCTCCAATTCGCACAGGAACACAAGGATTGGACAGTCAAGCATTGGAAAAAAGTCATGTGGTCCGATGAATCACGTTTCCAGTTGCATCATGCAGATGGCAGAGTGAGAATTTGGCAGAAACAGCATGAAAGCATGCACCCCACATGCATGAGTACAACCCTTCAAGCTGGTGGGGGCAGTGGTATGGTTTGGGGCATGTTTTCCTGGCATAATTCGTGTGGAACAACGTCTGAATAGCACAACATACCTAAGTATCATTGCTGATCAGGTTCATCCTATCATGTTGATTGTGTATCCCAATGGAGATGGCTTCTTCCAACAAGAAAATGCGCCATGCCACGGTGCTCGTATTGTGCAGGAGTGGTTTCAAAAACATGAGAGAGACTTTACCTTGCTTAGGTGGCCCCCACAATCACCAGATCTCAACCCAATTGAGCATTTGTGGGATGAAGTTAAAAGAGCCATCAGGCAGCTGGTTCCACAACCATCAAATCTCACAGAACTGGACAGGGCTCTTCATCAGGCGTGGTGTCAGATTCCTCGCATCACCTTTCAACATCTCATGGAGTCAATGCCAAGAAGAATTGCCACAGTATTGAAGGCAAAAGGTGGCCCAGCGAAGTACTGATAGAGTGGTCATAATAATCTGGCCACTCACGTTGAAATATATCCCACATTCAAAGGCTGTTAAATCGAGTTGTTTACCCATATCTTCAGAAAAAAATCACTTCTACTGTCGTGGTAAACAACCTGCTTCCCTATTAATAATGGTCTGGCCCTCTAGCAACTTCAGCGTGAAATTATAGCTAATTTGCCTACAAACGTCAGGTGGTCATAATAATCTGTCCCACATCTTCTTTATCCATTCATCTATCAGTGGACATCTAGGTTGCTTCCTTGCCTATTGCAAATAATTCTGTAGTGAACATAATGGTGATTGTATCTTTTTGAATTAGTGTTTTTGTTTTCTTCAGATAAATACCCAGAAGTGGCATTTTTGGGTTGGATGGTATTTTTAATTTTTTGAGGATTTCCATACTGTATTCCATAGGACCTGCAACAATTTACAATCCCACCAACAGTGCATGAGGGTTCCTTGTTCTTTCACATTTATTGTGGACCTTTTGATGATAGTAATTTTCTAAGGTGGAATCTCATTGTGGTTTTGGTTTATATTTTCCTGATGATTATTGATACTGAGCATCTTTTTATGTCTGCTGGTCATCTGTATGTCCTCTTTGGAGAAATGTCTATTCAGATCTTATGTTCATTTTTCCATCAGATTGTTTTGTGGAGTTTTTTGAGGTTGATGTTCCTTATATATTTTGGATATAAACTACACTGTATGTATCATTTGTGAATATCTTCTCCCATTTATTCAGTTGTCTTTTCTTTTTGATGGTTTCCGTTGCTGTGCAGAAGCTTTTTAGTTTGATAAGATCCATTTATTTTTGCTTTGTTTCCCTTGACTGAGGAGACATATCCAAAAAGATATTGCTAAGATTGATGTCAAACAGCTTACTACTTATGTTTTCTTCTAGTAGTTTTTTGGATTCAGATCTTACATTTAAGTCTTTATTTTGAGTTTATTTTTATATATGGTGCAAGAGAGTGGTCCAGTTTCATTTTTTGCATGTATCTATCCAGTTTTCCCAACAGCATTTATTGAAGAGACTGTCATTTCTCCATTGTATATTTTTGCCTTCTTTGTTGTGGATTAATTGACCATATAAGTGAGGGTTTCTTTCTGGGCTCTCTTTTCTGTTCCATTGATCTGTGTATTTGTTTTTGTGCCAGTGTCAAAATATTTTGGTTACTATAACTTTGTAGTATAGTTTGAAATCAAGGAGAGTGATATTTCAACTTTGTTCTTCTTTCTCAAGATTGCTTTGGCTAATTAGGGTCTTTTGTTAATTTTAGGATTATTTGTTCTAGTTCTGAGAAAAATGTTATTGGTATTTCGTTAGAGACTGCATTGACTCAGTAGATTGCTTTGGGTAATATGGACATTTTAATTAATTCTTCCAGCCCTTGAGCATGGTATATCCTTCCATTTTGCATGTGTCCTCTTCAATTTCTTTCTTTGAATTAGTGTTTTTGTTTTCTTCAGATAAATACCCAGAAGTGGCATTTTTGGTATTTTTAATTTTTGATATTTTTATATATCACTATCTTATAATTTTCAGTGTCTTTCACCTCCTTGGTTAAATTTATTCTTTGGTATTTTAAACTTTTTAATGCAGTTGTAAATAGGATTGTTTTATTTTAAATTTTTATATATTTTAGTGATTTCAGAGAGAAAGGGAGAGGGAGAGAGATAGAACATCAATAATGAGAGAATCATCAATCAGCTGCCTCCTGCAGGCCCCCTACTGGGGATCGAGCCTGCAACCCAGGCATGTGTCCTTGACTGGAATCAAACCTGGGACCCTTCAGTCCCCAGGCCAACGGACCCTTCTATCCTCTGAGCCAAACCAGCCGAGGTGGATTGTTTTATTAATTTTATTAGTTCTAATAGATTTTTGGTGGAGTCTTTAGAGTTTGCTATATATAGTATCATGTCATCTGCAAATAGTGACAGTTTATTTCCTCCTTTCCAATATGGATGCCTTTTTTTAAAAAAAATCTTTATTGTTGAAAGTATTACAGATGTCCCATTTTTTTCCCAACTGACCCTCTCCACCTCACACCTGCTCCCCTGCTCCCTACCCCAGGCCTTCACCATTCC